TGGCAGCAGTGGTTTTCCGCTCTCCTGACAATGGCCACCCAGTACACTGACCAAGCTAAACTCCGCACAGCAACAGTGGTTTCAGATCTTCCAAACTCTTCACCACTAGTAGCATTTGTAAAGTGTGTGCAGGAAACTATGAAGTGTGGAAGGCTGTGCAACAGCTTCAATTGGTGGTTCGGTGAAAAGAAAAAGAAGGGAATTTCTTTCTCTAATAGATTCACTGGACTGGAATCCATGGGATTTTCATGGAACTTTGGTTACCTCATCAAGGAACTCTTGCAGATAGAAAAATTTTCAAGAGGGTCTGCTTTAAAACTGCACTCACTTGTATTTAGTGGTTTGCAAATCAGGGATGCTGCTGCAATTTATTCCAGAGTTGAAGTAAGCAAACAGCAATTAGATAATGCAACTTAAAGTCAAATGTTGCAACTGGAAAAGTTATCAATGAGCTTCAGCAGTATTTGAAATAATATTGGTTTAATATATATGAAGAGATCCTGGATTATTATTTCTTAGAGCTGCAATTTGATTTTGATCATGTTATATGTTCAAAGGAACATCTCAGCTCTTGTTATATATTATCAGAAATAAGAAATGGAATCAAATGTCAATGGTTCTTTTTTCATGCTGCGTTTTATTCTATACTTTCTTCTATACCCTACTAGGCAGTGTAAACCTGATGATTAATTTTTACTATATTCTATACCCAGCTGAGTAGTAAATACCTAATGATCACTTTTAATCTCTCCCATAACCACTTGGGTAGTGTATACCTAAGGGTTACTTTTAATAGCTTCTATACCCTCTTAAATGGTGTATACCTAAGGGTTACATCTAATTTCTTCTATACCCTCTTCAATTGTGTATACCTGGGAGTTGCTTTTACTCTCTTCTACCCTCTTGGGTAGTGTATACCTAAGGGTTTTATCTAATCCCTTCTATACCCTCTTGGGCAGTAAATACCTAAGGATTATTGTTAATCTCTTCTCAGGTAGTGTATATCCAAGGGTTATTTTTAATCTTTCCTCTACCCTCATGGGTAATGTATACCTGAAGGGTTAATTTTACCCTCAAGGGTATAGTGTATACCTGAGGGTTACTTTTAATCCCTTCAATACCCACTTAGGTAATGTATACCATAGGGTTACTTTTAATCTCTTCCATACCCTCCTGGGAATTGTATACCTGAGAGTTATTTTTAATCTCTTTTGTACCCTCTTGGGTGATGTATACCTGAGGGCTGTAAAGTTGTAAAGCTGAGGGCTATTTTTAATATTTCCTATACCCTTCCTGTGTAGTGCATACCTGAGGGATATTTTTTAATCTTTTCTATGCCTGCTTGGGCAGTGTATACCTGAGGAATACTTTTAATCTCTTTTATACCCTCTACTGGGTAGTGTATACCTGAGGGTTACTTTAAATCTCTTGTACATCCGCTTTGGCGGTGATTACCTGACAATTCATTTCTAATGTCTGCTATACCCTCTTGGTAGTGAATAGTTGAGGGTCCATGTTAATCTCTCCTATACCCTCTTGGGTAGTGTACACCTGAGGGTTACTTTTAATATCTTCTATATTCTCTTGAGTAGTGCATACCTGAGGGTTTTTTTATCACTTTTATACCCTCGTGGTCAGTGTATACCTGAGGGTTAATTTTAATCTCTTTATATCCCTCTGAGTAGTGTATACCTGAGGGCTATTTTTAATCTTTTCTATGCCCGCTTGGGTAGTGTATACCTGAGGGTTACTTTTAATCTCTCTATACCCTTTTGGGTAGTGTATACCTGAGGGTTACTTTTAGTCTCTTTCATACCCTACTGGGTAGTGTATACCTGAGGGTTACTTCTGATCTCACCTGTACCCTCCTGGTTAGTGTATACCAGAGTGATATTTTTTAACTCTTTTATACCCTCTTGAGTAGTGTATACCTGAGGGTTACTTTTAATCTCTTTTATACCCTCCTGAGTAGTGTATACCTGAGGGTTATTTTGAATCTCTCCTATACTCTCTTGGTAGCGTATACCTGAGGGTTATTTTTAATCTATCCTATACTCTCTTGGTACTGTATACCTGAGGGTTATTTTTGATATATCCTATACCCTCTTGGGTAGTGTATACCTGAGGGTTACTTTTAATCACTTGTATACTCTCCTGGGTAGTGTATACCTGAGGGTTATTTTTTATCTCTTCTGTACCCTCTTAGGCAGTGTTTACCTGGGGGTTTTTTTAATCTCCTTTATACCCTCCTGGGTAGTGTATACCTAAGGGTTATTTTTAATCTTTCCTATATCCTCTTAGGTTGTGTATACCTAAGGAGAATTTTTAATACTTCTATACCCTCTTGGGTAGTTTATTTCTAAGGGTTACTTTTAATCTGTTTTATACCCTCGTGGGTAGTGTTTACCTAAGGGTTTTTTAATCTCTGCTGTACCCTCCTGGGTAGTGTATACCAGAGTAATATTTTTAATCTCTTTTATACCCTCTTGGGTAGTGTATTCCTGAGGGTTACTTTTAATCACTTTTATACCCACTTAGGTGGTGAATAACCTAGGGTTATTTTTAATCTCCTTTATACCCTCTTGGGTGATGAATACCTGAGAGTTACTATTAATCTCTTTTATACCCTCCTGGGTAGTGTATACCTGAGGGTTATTTTTGATATATTCTATACCCTATTGGGTAGTGTATACCTGCGGGTTACTTTTAATCACTTTTATACCCATTTAGGGGGTGAATAACCTAAGGTTATTTTTAATCTCCTTTATACCCTCTTGGGTGATGAATACCTGAGGGTTACTATTAATCTCTTTTATACCCTCCTGGGTAGTGTATACCTGAGGGTTATTTTTAATCTCTCCTATACTCTCTTGGTAGTGTATACCTGAGGGTTATTTTTAATCTATCCTATACTCTTTCGGTATTGTATACCTGAGGGTTATTTTTATATATTTTATACCTTCTTGGGTAGTGTATTTCTAAGGGTTAATTAATTAATTAATTAATCTCTTTTATACTCTCCTGGGTAGCGTATCCCTTTTTTTTTTTTTTTCTCTTCTTTTTTTCTTCTGGGTAGTGTATACCTGAGGGCCACTTTTAATCTCTTTTCTACCCTCTTGGGAAGTCCATACCTGAGAGTTACTTTTAATCTCTTTTATGCCCCTCCCCCCGGTGTATAATTGAGTGTTACTTTTAATCTTATCTTTATGTATAATCGAGGGTCAATTACTAAATATCTTGTATATATTCTTGTATACCAGAGGGTTAGTTTTAATCCATTCTATACCCCCCTCAGTAGTGTATACCTGAGGGATACTTTTAACCCTGTCTATATGTATACTCGAGGGTTAATTTTTAATATTTTTTATACCCTCTTGGGTAATGTATACCAGAGGGTTACTTTTAATCTCTTCTATACCCTCTTGGGTAGTGTATAGCTAAGGGTTACTTTTAATCTCATCTATATGTATACTCAAGGGTTAATTATTAAAAATTTTCCATACCCTCTTGGGTAGTGTATACCTGAGAGTTATTTTTAATCCATTCTATACCCCCTTCAGTAGTGTATACCTGAGTGATACTTTTAACCCTGTCTATATGTATACTTGAGGGTTAATTTTTAAATATTTTTTCAACCCTCTCGGGTAGTATATACCTAAGGTTATAGACGGAACGGGGAGACCATCAGCTGAAAGCAATATGTATTCTCTGGATTATCTAATCAACAGTTTCTGGACTTTAAAAGTTCAAAACCATGACCTGTATAAAGAAGGGTTTTTCTGAGTTAGCCAGAAACAGGCCTATGATCATAGAGGTGTAATCAGCTTTCCCGGTGCCGCTTTTTAGGCAATTTTTTTAGTTTCTTCTTCTTATACGTGTTTTAAATTATTCCTGTTATATTTTCTATCAAATTTGTCCAGGACTATTCCTGGACTTTGTGTTAACGATTTACTGTCATCTTCATTGAATGTGCAGCCAGCTAATTTACATATTTATTTTTTCCGACGCAAAGCTGGTCATGAATACAAAAATTACTTAAAACACAAAAGCTACCAACAAAACCAACTTGACAGGTAGTACCAAAGGAAATTATCCCAAGGGGGCGATGGTCTGGTACTCGTATCAAAAAATACATGCTATTAGAAGGTTCCCTTTCCCTTAACAATAGGTACTCAAATAGTTAAGCTAAGGTTGTTGTTTTTGCTTCGTGGTAGAGCAACGGATGGTGGCCTCCTTTCCATGTTTTCAGGGGGTGCATCGAGGATTCTATGGGCACCGTCCTGGCCTGGGCCGTCCTGTTGCAATGGTCGCCTCTCTTCATCATCTTGGTTGTTCCCCCTCTTTCTCCACCATAAAAAAAGCCCTGCAAGGACCACCAGTAGTACAATCACCCCAGCGGTTGGAGCCACAATTTCCACAATGTGCGCTGCACAAATTAAAGAGGAACCAGAAGATGTTATTTTTCAATTAATAAATATTTCTTGAACGTGAACATCATTAGAAGAGAAGGAGTTTTTGCGGAGCAATTGAGCGCCCTTCCATCAACTTTGATGATATTATTGATGTTGTACGAATTCTGTGGGAGCAACAAAGCATTATTTGGTGGTACTGAGTGTCAGGTCCATCACACCTATTTACTCTTTATTTTTTATTCTCGACTTTTCCTCCTAATCACCATTCCTGCGATAAGGAAAGTACTGTTTGACTTTCAGTTAACTTACAATGTTCCTCCGCTGCTAGGCTAAGGGAAGTCCCAGAAACACAAGCATTCTCACAACCGCACAAGTGATCCAGCTCAAATTTCTAGAGCACAAAAAGATACAAGGGGAAAATTTCAAGAGTCTCATCATGGTTTCAACAAGACTTGTGTTAGAAATGATGACATCCAAAGAAAGTCGCTAAAGCCATGAACGAATTCCATGTAATTTTATGAAGCAGGATGCAAAAGGCAGATATATTTCAACCATCTTTTGCACAACTCTTAGTAGACTTTGTATGTCTTGAAAAACTCATAACAAAAGAATTAAGAGAAGTTTTTCCCGTGTTTTTTGCAAAGCTTTATCTTGGTTAGAGAATCTTTAATAATTCGTCTCACGATAAAGAGTAAATCAACTGTAGAGTTTCTTTCAAAAGAAAATCGCGATACTTCGACAGCAATACTGCTAATCTTTGACGTCTACTTTGGTCCAGTTGCACTGTGCATTGACAAGGGAGTAATATTTATGAGCGACTCGTACTCTTTCAATCCAATCGGCTGACGAGAACATTACATTTTATTTTTACTATTATTTTTTCATGTCAATCTGAATAGATAAATTGTGTAAAAAAGTAACTAACCCAGTAATCTTCATTGATTACTTTAAAGGTTGCATCCTTGATGTCTACTTTGGTCCGTTCGCACTTCACATTGACAATGGACTTTAGATTCTGAAGATGCCTAAAAGAAGATAAATTAGGAAGTTAGTGTCTTCTAATAGAAAAAAATTCTGTTTTTTCTTTAGGCTTTGGTTTCTGATAAAAAAAAGATATCCTATAGATCAAGCAGTACAGCTCTTCACAGCATTTTTCGAGAATGGTAGATTGTTCCTTCGTGCTGATTGTTAATTTTCTGCTTCCATGTGTTTCGCTGTGGTAAAATTCATTTGTTTTTCGAGTTAGCGTATGTGCCCACCACTAAATAAGAACCCGCACCTTAGTTAACTTGTATGTGCTCATAAGAACACTGACCCAGAGTTTTACTTAATTTTTATTGCTAAGCCTAGTCATAATTAAGAGCGTACAAGTACACATACCGTCCCCCTGCTTTGTAGGTCAGTTGAATAAAATTGCTCACTTTGGTACATTTTGGCATTTTATTTCCAATTGATTGATAATTGTCAGGATTATCGTTGTTTGGAGTCCACCTACATATCTGAAAGATAATAGAAATAGTGCGACTGTTGCCACAGGGCCACCAACAAATTCAAAGTTACTCTGATGTTTAAGACCAGCCACACACAAGATTCCGGTATGCAAACACAAAATTATAAAGGGTGGTAACCGTGCTATTTTATTTAATCGCTTGCTATATTCGCAGTCTGTGCTCTCAAAAGATCACGGTTACCCAATTCATACCTGATACTACACAAAAAGATATCATAGATCTTATTCTAAGACGAAAATCATTTTGCTTTCCGAATAACTTTAACTTATTTCGGAGAAAACAACTTTTACAGCGACAGAAAACAAAGTATGCTGGAAAAAATTAACTGCCCTACTTAATTGGTGAGTCTTTCCATTATCGAACTCAGGTGTTCTTTTAAGAGTTGTTGATCACCTGCATAATACGATGGCCATGCATCCCTAAGTTTTTTACGTCTGTTGATAACAAGCAAGTCCTCTTGCGCGTCCCAATGCACAATGCTGAGTTGCTGTTCACAAATTAAGCTTAAATAGCCAGATTTCTCAAGTACAACAAAACCGCCAAAAACATCGAGCTCCATTTCTATGACTGCAGAAATAATTGGACCATTACTTACTGCCGTTTCTTTATCCCGATCACATTCACCGGCTAAACTGATCCATCTGCATGGGTTGTACGCGTACGAATAGTACTGATGGTATTTTCCATGAGGTGTACCATTTGCGAGGAAGCCTCTAAGGAAATGTCCATAAGAAAGCATTGGTTACGAAGTGATGATTGATCGAAGGGAAGCATAGCACCGAGTCACTCAATTGTAATAATAGTCTAATACAGTCGAACCTGTCTTAAGCGGTCAACAACGAGGAATGACGAGATGACCGCCTAATACAGATTCCACAGGATAGGAGCATTCTGAAAAGCAATTTAAGACGTCATGTTTTGCCATCACTGACCACTTAAAGTGCAAAAACTAGCTCTAAAATACTACTTAAATTGATTTTGGGATATAAGGATGGAAAAAGTTTTACTTGAAAGATTATTCGAAGTTTTATTTGAGTGGTTGCGCTTCGCGTGACCCTTCTCTACAGGTGGAGAACAATAAAAACAGGCCGTTGGGACTTTGTAAAGGGTGATCACTGACTGCTTATAGAGGCGACCGCGTAATAGGTGCCGCAAAATACAAGTTCGACCATATAATCATTATGGAGTGTAGGGAACTACCAACAGATACACAGATACACAGATACACCAACCAACGCTCTCAACTATAATCACAACTGATATTTTTGCAGACTCCCTAAACTCTCCCTGCTGAAAGGATCGCCTTTCAAAAGTTTTTTTTTTTCGCGGCCTTCTATCACATTCTGTCAATGGTGTTCTTTACTTTTCTTCAGAGATCGAAAGTTCAATTTTATCAATTTCTTGTCTGCTCCATGTCAATCATCAGATTCACTATGGCTGCTTGATAAAAACGCAAGTGAAAAATACATATACATATGTCACGCTAGACTTGTGAGACTCAGCAGATTTATTCGAAAATATACTTTTGATTAGTTTCTTAGCCTATATGCAATTAGCATATAGCTGTAAAAATGTTCCGCCGCTAAATTACCTAGGAAGACTGTTTTGATCACATGTGTTAAATATCATTCTGTTACGACAAAAGCTTGCTTGCTATAAGTGTGAGTGAGTGAGTCCACTGAACTCTGGAAAGAGCTTGTGAAACTGAGCTACGCTTCTTTTCCTCTGATATGAGGCGGAGAAGGAACATCGTGTGCCTTAAATTGAACACAGTAGTCTACAAAGAGTTAATATCGAAGTTCCACGAATTTCACTTTAAATTCTCTTTCTTGGAACCGCGCTCGAGTGGAAAACTCGGACACGGATGATAGCCCTTACTATGAATTAATCAACATCTTAAGATCATTTTATGGATATATCCTGTTTTTCGTTTGAGTTTATCTTGTTTTGCTTACCTTGTCAATGGGGCTAAATTAAAGATATTCCCATCTCTATCTTCCCAAGCGCAGGTCGTATTGGGTACAAGAAAGCATTCTTGACCACTGGTAGAAGAGCTCGCATCACACTTTCCGTATTGGACAAAAGTATGCAGAATTGTAGCGCACAACAAACTGATGAACAAACGCATCTTGCCGCCGTGGATATCTGAAGAAGACAATTGAAGATGACGAAATCTCTTTCTAATCTAAGAATTTAGGGGATTCCCCGTGACACATGATAAGCTCTAACAATTCAAAACAATAGTGCCGAAGATATTCGTCGACTAACTGCAAAAATTGCGATATTTTTTTAAAGTAAAAAGTCTATCTTAAGAAAGCTTGAGATACCGATTATATTTCCTTTATATGTTGTTGTATGTTGTGAAAATGACAAGTATTGTGATAGGACTTAGCTATATAGTTCCGGCGCACCCTGAGCTTTCGCTTTCGGATTAATCAAGAAACGGTAAAAAAGCGCTTCCTCAGACACACACGCTGGTATCCCTTGCTTGTCTTTTCTTAAATTTCCAAAAGAAAAATTGCGTCAATCAAATAGTGTTTTTTTTTATCGAAACTAGAGTGTGTTAAGTCAGCCCTTGAACGTTGCACGTCAGGCGGAACACAGAAAACTTCAGTTACCTTCAAATACGATGTGGCTTAGAAAGCAAGCTGTACATCTGTTCGCCAGACTTTTGACATCCGTTAGACCGTTCGGTCAGTCTTGTCGGCCAGTTAGAAAATACGATGATTGGCAAAGCTTTGTTGTTCACTCAAAAGTGATCTGTCGGGGGTAGTACGTTTTCTCCATCAGACTAGTCCCCAGTCAATTCTCATTAATATTTGGAAGGGCTAGGGAGTTGGCGACCAATGATAACCGCACCACGGAGGAAATCTTCCTCATCAACACTCTGATCCATTGAAGCTAATCAATAGTTACTTAGATCATACAGTTGCTGAAATTCGCCATCCAAGAAGTCGCACTATTGCACCACTTAAAAACAACTGCGTGGAGTATGTTGAGGGTGATTAAGAGCAAAAATATTTTCCTCCAAAAGCCTCTTTTCCCTTGTTAGTAATCAGTATGTTTCCAAAGTAGGAAAATGCTTTTATATTTACCAGTGATTATTAAATTGATTGCCATTTTCTGACAAGCAATTAAATGACGAAGGACAAAGCCACTTGCAATTTAAAAAGCTATTATTTTGTCTTATCTCGTAGATAGTCATCCATTTGAGTTAGAAAGTATTTTTCAGGAATTTGAGCCTTGTTCGTCCAAAACAGTCAGTCTAACTGGTAACAAGTTGGGGTTAACTTTAGGTTAGGGGAGGGGTAGGTACGAATTTGCTCAGATACCAAAATTGATCCAAAAATCTAAATATAAGTACCGTGTGAGCTTAAGAAGAACAGTGGGCTTCACCAAAAGGACACAGGCGTATATGCATGGTTTTGCTTTAGTGCGAGGATATCAGTACCACAGGAGTGATTTTTGACAAGCAGACAAGTTGCTGTTAAAGACACCATTTTGGGGGTTATTCCAGAAAGGATTCTTACCATCAGAATTATCCACGAACGACTACGAAAAAATATTATTTACTCATTTCTTTTTGAGAGATCTTAGAAATACAGTTTGGTCATTTGAAAGAGTTTAAGTAAAATACGTGCAAGTTTTGAACTTAAATTATTCTGTACGTCATTACAAAACCTCTATCCCTTTCGTAACTTCAAAGTACAACAGAGGATAAAAGTGTGGGTTTGAGAAACCACTGTGACTATTGATCCATCAAGATACATTTGATCTTTTTTATTTATGTGATGAGGGGGGGGGGGGGGTTTGGGAGAAGCAGAAGAGGGTTCCTCTTTGTTCTTTCATTCGATTTTTTTTCCTTTCCATTCTTGACTTTCAAATGTTATTGAATCTTCTTCTAGAGTCAAAATTTCTTTTCCCCTAAAGAGACTAATGAAGCAAATTCCATTCTTCCGTTCATATTTATTAGACTTTCAAGCAAATAAATATTATCCTCACCTTGCATTTGTTTCTTGGTGGACAAATAAACTGGTCTTGCATTTCCTCGTGGTTGAAAGCGATTTAAAAGTTTCACTTGGAGCTATGTTTTTAATACCCCTTTCAAACGGTTAATTCAATTTCATCGCCATCAAATCATTTCCTCCAGCTCGCGAGGAACCAAATGATCTACTATAGTCTAAACAGTGATCTGCTAAGCACGTGATCGTGACGTCTTCAACAGACATATGACCTGTTTCTGCTTCTAGAATTCTCTTTAGAAGACACTTTGATATCACTACAAGATGATGAGTTCGTTGACGTGGGTTTAGTTAAACTTGACGACCCACTTCCCGGTGTGGGTTCTCTTGCACTGGAGAAGGGGTTTTTAGTGCTATCATTTCCACCAACTGCACCATAATCAAATGAATCCTTTTCATCCAAAAGATGGTTTCCAATATGATCGATGTGAGGCGGTGGATTGTCGTTGCGAAGCTGTGGCCTGACACGTTGCCAGATAATGATAGTGAAAAGAACAGCAAATAAACAGGTGACACCAGCAGTACAAGCGACCACAGGAACCACTATTCCTTCGTCGTCTCCTGCTTAAACACAGAGAGATACTGTAATTTATGTTATAATTAAGGCAGAATTACTACTAGATAAAGATTGGCTGGGTCAGAGGACTTTTTTCCATTAATATTGGTAATTGCCCGGATAAAATTACTTAGACTCTAAGACCACTAGGTCGTTTTAACCTTCTAAATGAAATAAATTATAATTAAAAATTATAAGATGTCTCGTAAGGTTAAAGATTCAAACGACTTGGCGACTTTTGGAAATGCCAGTGATAACACTCCTTAACTTTTCTTGACCCTATGCTATTGATTTTATGTAAAGAACTATTTTTGGTCGTTTTTCGAATTCAGCATGCGTCATTGGCAATTCCTCATGGATGACTGTAACAATATATATAGATTTATCGATAAAACTGATTAAACATTTACACGATGTTCATTTATTTCCGTGCAACTGAAAGAAAAGCCTTGTTTTACATTCAGCGTTTATGGTTTCACTTCTGACTGGATTTATTTTGAGCACATCATCTCTGTCCTTTCCCACAGAATAATTTCAAATCTTTCTCAGTCTTCAATATTGAGTATCGACCTCTCAAAGAATATGATATTATCATATTTCCTTAGGACATTTCAAAAATCTCGTGAAATGTGAGGAAATAATAGGTAAATGATCTCACTTACCAGGGGTAACTGTAGTTTTGGGTTTCTTTGTAGGGTTGATTAGACACATATTCGGGCAGGCACACTTATGGGAGAGACTCAATTCCTGGAAAGATGCAGTAATAGACAGTATATCACTCTCTTCGCAGTCCTTGTGATTTTTGAAGTAGGTGTGAATGACCAGTGGTGCAGCAGATAAAACTACGACTAAAAACTTGAACACACTGCTCACATGTTTAAACAATATGGCAAGTAACGCAAAGTACATCGCTCGATAGAAATTACTAAACATATCAGTTTCTTTGTTGAAATTGTTTTGTCATATCGTTCGTACTGGATGTATAAATTGAAAAGAGGAAAACTGAGGAAGATTTCATGACTTACTGATCTCCTTTAAATGTCTTCCAAATAAATACAAACATGTTATTTAAGAGTTTGGGAAAGGATCCAACCGAGATCTATGAAGAGCTTCCTATCTTTTTCCAAAATCTTGAAGTAGTCATCTTTTCGCCGTGATACGTGTTTGCTTACTTTGGCAGTTAACCGCAACGATATATATATTAGATTTATTTCTTTGTTTTTTATGACCATGGCTTTTGGAAAGAAGGCTTCTTGTGCAGATTGAGTGAATGTTGATCAACTGTGGTTGCAATAGTCTTCACGGGTTTCAGCCGTCTACTCTTTCCTCGGAAGCTACCACCATCTTTCGATTGACTATCAGAAATTCGGGAAATTCATTGTGCAGTTTAGAGGTTTTACTTGACATAATCTGGCAAGAGTATAAGAACTAAGAGTGTCTGGCCGGTAAAAGCAACTGTACTTTGAATGCAACAAAACAAAAAAACAAGTACATGATTGTTTTTTGTGAAATTGCTGATCTATTTCACGTGAAGCGTGAGATTTCCTTTACATTCCTGTTACAAGTGATCTTCACTTCTTTACTATCTTCATGCACAATGACATTCAGTCACTTACAACACTTCCAGCTTCTTGATCCGTCACAGCTTTGAAACTGCCTTTGTCTTCAGTTGAATTGCACACCAGTGATACAGTGGACTTCCAGTGAAGACCACTGAACGAAAGAAAACATAACATCACAAAGTGTGTAAGCTACGAGTATGCTAACAACGCATTGTAAGGAGCTTCTAGTTTCTCCAGTTTACTTTGAGTCCACGACATGGAACCAACTTTGAGAGTTGACGACATGGAACCAAACTTTGGATTTTTTAGCTATTTTAGAGGTTTAAAAATAAATAAAGTAGTTCAAAAGCTAATGAAAAGAAACAAAGTAACGTTGGGATAAGAAAAAATATAACTGAGCCAAGCCTGCCACCGTCATTTTGGATCTCCGCCTGGGTAGATTTAAGTCACGTGCTAGGCAACGTATGATCAATAACAAGATAGAATTTCATTTCAGGCCTATTTATCTATTTTGTGGTGTGTAACTTTCGCATTTTAGTACGTTGTATGTATGTTGAATCTTCAAATTGTCTTGAAACTGAAAAGAAAATTGTTCTTTAAAAATTCACTGAAAATCGGTAGCTAAAATTGTTTGTTTAAGTGTTATCTGATTTTCGTGTTAACTTGTTATTTCGTCAGTCGCCGGCACTTTTGTTGCTTCACACAGGAAAAACACACGCGACGAAACTTAATGATCAATTTTGTCCTCAATCTCACGCCATAACAGAAAAAGCTTTTGAACATCTGTAAACTCTGAGCGCTTCGCAGTAAGTGATATTTTCAATGAATCTTCGGATTGTTTTCAAGTTCAAGGATTGTAAATTACAATTTTATGAAAAACGAAGGTTGTTCTGTTATTTCAGTGTGAATCCTTGCATGCCTGCCAGTCGCTGGCGCCGCTTGTTGAAACTAAAACGAAAAAAAAAACTCTTTTAAGATTATCATTGGCTTCTTTTTCACCCCACCACTATTCTTAGCAACAAAGGTCGCCATTTCGTCTGTTTATTGCTCGCCAAAAACTATCAAATGCACTCAAAAGCCTAAAATCTAAAAAAAGTTTACAGGAATCGACCAATCGAGCGAGCGAGCGAGCGAATGGCATTCCCCACATCGTATCTATAACTCGCTCTTGCGCATGCGCGCAATTCACGAGTTAAAAAGGAAATTAAAATTTGATGAATGTGTAATACCTTTTTGGCATATAAAACTATTAATTTTAATATTACTTGGTAGAAGTATTCTCTTATTGAGTTTATGTCGGCTGAACTAACGCAGAGATGAGAAGTATAAAAGTTTAAAAGTTGTGAGTAGAACAGAAATACGAAACAGAATTTCCACTCGAATTATGAGTAGAGATTTGGCGCGAGTTCGATTTAGAATTTTGATTTACTGTTTATACTTGTTATTAGAAAATTCACTTTCAGTCATTAATTTATCATAGTAAGGCTGGCCTCACGAGAGAATAAAGTCGAGCAACTCAAAACGAGTTCACTTATCGTAAAGCAAAACAGAGTGGAGCTCACCGCCTATAAACTTAAGTAAATTAATGAAATTATCATTAAGCAGGCAAATCCAAAATAAACAAGTGAGGTCCGAGTACCATATAATAAACTACTTCCTTACCTCACTTGCTCGAGCTGCAGTGGGGAACATTGGCCCTCGTTCGTTTTTGTACGGACCTCTCTGTGCTGAATCCATGCTGCCACGACCTCGGGCCAATATTCCCCAGTACGGCCCTTACGCTCGGTTAGTAAGAAGTTAGTTATCGATTGTTAATATGCTAACGATATATGACCGTATATGAAATATCTGTTCGTGGAAGATACCTCAGGTATGATAACCAATGCATGTTTAACTCAATCGTACACTCTGAGCAATAAACTAGAACTCATACTTCCTTCACGACACCATTAGATTTTTGAAAAAATATACTATTTTATTTACGCTAGGTGATTACAAATACTCACTAAAGATAACGTAGCTTTGGAGGTTTGCCTTCAACATCGAAAAGCGTTGAGTTCTGACGACCAATATTAACGTACGCATCATCATGACCTTCAACCCATTGACAAATCTGAAACGAGTTAATGAGTTGGAATGTTCATTACCCAAAACTATTCTCAGTCTAACGGAGGTTTTTGCCATGAAACATGATGTAAGAAAAAACTTCTGACCCACTTGCCTAAGATGAAAGTGTTTGGAAATAAAATCACCCCTTTCTCAAGTTAAAGCAAATCTTCTAATGATTAAGGATCTTTACAAATGAGTTACGCATCGACGAGAGATCTCCAAACACTTTCTCAGAGGAGAACATTTCGCACAATTTGATTCCACATTTTATTAGCTAATGCCGTACCATTAGCCCGCATCTCCTAAACTTTGGCTGACAAATTCTTTCATTACATATCGCTAAAGAGTTTAACGTGTTTTGCGTTCCCTGCTTGCATACCCGGTAACCCACTATTGAAAGAAAAGATCTTAGTCAGAAAAAAAAAGGAATGGAAAATATATCAGAGAAATATTCGATATCTAATTAGTCTTTTTAAAGAAATCCAAAGTGTCATACAAATTAACTTCTTCCTAAGGTGATTAAGGCAAGAAAGTGACACTGAAGCAATAAAGGCTATTTAAAACTATTTTTTTGACTCTGGACGTCAAAAAGAATGGGTATTATTTTTCAGAATTGCAAAGTCCCAATGACGTCACTTTTGGTGGCCTCAACTAATCTTCTGTCCAGAATCATTCAATAAAACCACTTCTCGTTTTCTAATGTAAAATCAATAACGGGAGAATTTTTGTTTCATCTGTCATCCTGGCCATACAATACTTTCTAAGTTTCCCTTAATTATTTCTTACCGCCACATCAGAGTGACATGGGTTTGCTTTCTTCTTAGGTCCAATTTTGAAAGGGAAGCATGGATTATAGCTGATCCTATAACCTTTGGAGTCTTCTGCGCAAAATCTGTTCAGGAATAAGAGACAAATGATTGTTGTTATTATTTGATCATGCAAGCATGGGATTGCTGATGCATTGTGCGTAGACCAGAAATCATTTGAAATCCACCACATTTATAAGCTCTTGGGATCGAATATACCTGAACTAAAATTATCACCAGGAATACCTGGTGATAATCCTAGAGTGACATTTACCACGTTTCGGACCTTACATTCAGTTTCATGAACGTGTTCGATCAAAAATTGATGCAATGTTAAATGGCGCATTGCAGTTGAAAATAATGAAAAAAAAGATAGAAGTGTAAGCATTATATATGCACACCTAGGCTTCCCATTGGTGTTTGCCAAACTTGTAAGCTCGTATACTTCTTCTTCGGGGACTTTGTAAACGCACCTAGCTGGTTTTGATGTCGTCTCTGCCTCATTCGTTATTTGATATTCTAAGGAAGTCCGTATGGCTATGAAACACACGACCACGCTCATTCAATGCATTTCTGAACTTTCTCTAAAAAGGAAAAAACATGTTTGGCACGTTCACGCATCATAGAGGCTTCTATTTATAGTCCCCATACGGACAAGGGAACAAAATATGCTTGTATGCAAACGTTTTAATTAGCCTAAAAATCGAATTTGTCAGAGAAATCGACTGATAAATTGCAGATGCACTAAGTGAAGGGAACTCTAGGTAATGGAAAATTAAAGTTGTAAAAAATCTACGAAATTTTAGGACAACTATCAAATTGACCCGTATGAAAATTGGCAATTTCTAAGCCATGCCCCAAGAGGTTACCTTCTCAATCCTCGTCAAGTTCGAAACCGCGTTTACTCCTAGAAAAAAATATGAAGTGAAGTAATTTTGGTTATCACAGTTTGAACTAAATACCTCAAAAAGCAAGCCTTCAACTCCCAGAAGTTATCAACACTCAACCTCTCCTAGCGATTCCTGTTGACAGGATATGAGAAGAAGACACAAGCCTGTCAACTGGAGAGTTTTATCTTGATGTAACACCAAATTCTCTCTTCCAAGTTACAAGATGTGTTTGAGAGTTAAAGGAGAGAATAACTTCTTGACTCGTGTGGTGTAGAGGGCTTAGGAAAACAATTTTCTCTCGAATATCGAATCTAATTTTCATTGTAGATAGCATTTATAACTGCATGGCAAGTATTATGTTTAGGCCTGAGTAAAAAATTATCTTTATGGTCTTCATTCCCGTGAAGAAAAGGCAACACTAAAGTTCTCGTCTGACATCTGCTAATTTTACATGAACCTAAAATTGGCCGAAATGTACCACATCTCTCGTAAAAACATATTCCAAGACTCCATCCCCACTACTTTCGCGTACTATTGCATGCAAAACGGAAACATAGATTCTCGGAAAGCGCGTTACTTCTAACCTCGTATTTACACTTTGTACGGCGATCGATTATAACCCATGCAAAATATAAGTTCAGTGACGCTTTAAAATTGATTATAATTAAACGCCTCTTTGTTTGAAATCATAAAATCAGTGCTGAATGATTACTAGCAAACAGGTAACTATTCACCAGCTAATGCACAATAAATGGATATTCCGGGAAAATTTTCCTTCATCTCAGCTTTGAGTTGAACATGTCAGATGAACTACGGGCCGAAGATCAATATGTGCATATAATTCGTGTACCCACGGCAATGTTTATAGCACTATGCATGGCCAAAAGGTTTATACATATACAGGAAAACACATTAGCTAATGCACAATTGAAGAAATGTAAAATGGTTTCCGTGTTTACATAGCTTGATGCAAACACGCGGGAAGTTAGGAGAACACGAGATAAGCGTAGGAAACCACGACGCGAAGTGGAGTGGTTTCCAGCTTTTCTTTTATAAAATAACTAATGAAAGAGGAACGAAAACCGTGTTTACATACGCTCGTGTAAAATGGTTTTATGGCCAATCAAAGCGCGTACTATTTGAATTATTTTAAAAAAATGGATATTCCGGGAACACATTTCTTTATCTCAGCTCTGAGTTGAACATATAAGATGAACTACAGGCCTAAGATCAATATGTGCACACAATTCGTTTACCACGGCAGCGTTTATAGCACCAAGGCCAAAAGGGCTTTAAAATCGGTAAAACATAACATTATTTAACAATCCTAACTGCATGTTGCGATGCATACAGGTCGATTATAATATATGTTTCATATGAATGGCCTCGCACTCTCAAAACTCACTTTCGCCTGTTCCTCCAAGGCAAAATTACCTCACCAAAGGAATGATATAAATCGAGCCACATCAATCGCTTCGAACGAGAGAAGGAGCTAGATGCTTATCTTAATTAAACCAGCCATTTCAAACTTTGAACGTCAACCGACCCCGAGTCAGTAACCTATCAAATTCAGAAGTAACTTTATAAGGACTACAAAGTCATTTCATAAAAGTGTTGTGGAAAGTTAAAGGTTATAATAACAAAATGCAAGATAACTTTCGTGGATCAGCTCGAACTGAGAACTAACGCCGGAAGCTAACAACCAATAAAGCACACCTGATAGGATCGTCTTTAGAGGAGTCGGGACACGATACTGATTGTCAAAATCACAATATTAGGAATAATGTCAGGTACTGTTTTGTACGTGATAAAGTCATTCCGTAAGAACGCACAAATAATGCACAATGCGAGCTTTCGGTGCTTCTTAACAAAGAAGATACTGTTGTAACAGGAGAATGTTCGTGTGTAGCTGGGTAAGTACATAAATTTTAGATCAAGTTCAAAAGCAAAATATCTCTCGTTTTGCATGGGTCTCTGTGTATCTGCTACATATACATAAATAATTTACAAAACACTCTTGACGAGCATTTAATGTCATCATAATACTGTTTAAAGCTTGTAGTTTGCAACATTTCATTTCCATTAACACAGAGACATGCTTCTGATTAAAAAGATCTGTTTTTTTTTTTTTTCTGAGGCATATTTGAATCATTGGGAGGCCAAGAACAGACAATACCTTTTTTTATATGAAGGCATTTCTTTAGCTGCAGCTGATATGAACATTTGCTGGTAGCCATAAAAGATACGCATAGTCATATGATTACAAATATATTGGACCATCTTAAAAACTCTAAGCATGTACTTTCTTTTCAAAGGTTTTTTTAATTATTTTTTCCTCAGCTTAGCTGGAGTGTGTAAACATGTGGGGGCACTTTTGTACCATATTTCTTCAGAAGTTAGAGAGGGAAACAACAAAACATGCACATCAAAACCTCAGGCCTAGGGAAGACCTTCAGCTTTAGCTAAAAAACGTTAATCTGCCAGCAGATTGTCAAACATCCAAACAAAGAAAGACAGGGTGCACAAAGGCAACTCCCTTGTCCCTTGGCAGACATGCACTGTTACGAGGTCTGGATATGATCCTCGTGCAGTAGACGACAGACAGCCTATGGCCTTGGACCAGGATGACTTGAAATACCTAGCAGCTTTAACAAATGGTAGATGTGGTATCCTTCTTAATTCCGACTATCCCTAGAGCCAGTCAGAACCTGATATAAATGACATAGCTGGCGAAGAAACTGTACAAGCAATTGATGAGCCTTTGCCAATTTCAGATCAAACTGCCATGATACACGCACAGTGGCTAAATAGTTCAGTAGAGGTGAAAATAAGAAATTTCTTCAGACAGCATTCATCTGGACGCCAGTATTGGCAAAGCAGCGAATTTGTTAGAAGGCCCACTGTTTGCCCACTCGTCTTAGTCTTCCACTCTGATCTCTCGGAAACCGGCCATCACAGAAATCAATACATGTCAATGTATAGGTCACGCAAGCCTATTAGTGAAGCGGTTTCCAGCTTTTGTGAAATTTCATGAAAGTTTACTAGTTTATTTTGCTAGGAGCAATTAATTCTCGTCATAAACTTTTGAAAGACGGCTCTTCACACTTCCCTCTCGCTGTCAAACCCAGGAAATCTGGACGAAACCATACTTGGGTGAGAAAAAAACTGGTACTTTTACACAAAAATGATTATTTGTTTTTCACGCTCATCCGTCATTTTCAATAGTGGCAAAGTCAGTATGCCTCTGACTCCTTATGACGGCTGGCGCAAGCGACACTTAACAAAATATTTTCTCAAACATTTTTCTGGATTCTACAAAGAATCTTGGATCGCAAAAGTATTTCTATTTTTGAGGTTATTAACAACCTTTCATGGTTATGGTCTTACGACATGGTCGGATATTTGGCACCGCACATTGTTGTACGTGTTCCGGGAAGCAAACAACCATTCCTAGAATATGAGTATCGAGCTCGAAGAGCAGATAAATCTCTGGAACAAATAATTATCTGTCTGTTTAATGGCCTTGAGAGGAGGTTCGGGAATAGATAGAAGTGCTACATGGAGCCTAACATGTGCGATATTTTCTTAAAGACCGAACCTCTTGCAGCGAAGGAGAAAACGTGTACGGATACCCTTTCGTTAGAAATGTTACTGAGCGTTATGTCGATTTTCGGTGTTCTGCACTATGACTTTATTAATGGTCATTCTTCTCCTGCAGCAAGAGCATAACACTTTTCCACCCTGAATTAACCTTGTTTATCGCGTTCCGAGCAATCGCGTGCGAGGGAAAAATATTTGATGGATGATGAGCTACACAAAAATAGTAAAAGATTATCAGTAAGACTTTTCTTAGGCACTACTCAGTCAGCAAAATACAAATTAATTACAATTCAGACGTTATTTACAATACAAAAATTACCTTTAATACGAAAAATACTACAAATCCAACTTGACGAGCAATACCAAAGGTATTTTCAATGTTAACACCTTTTCAATACTAAAAATCCATAATCTAACTACTATTATAACAACACTAATATTGTGTTCGATGTTCTTAAGATTGAGCATACATTCATAATCAGCGTCAATATTAGTTGACACATGTAGTGTTGAACAGTTAAGAATAACAAAATTAACGACAAATTACTAAATTACTGACAAGACCCCTTCCCCCTATTAAATGATGTCTGTTTACAGCTAAAAGATCACGAACGTAAGATACAAAATTGTTTTAGGCGTTAACAAGGTCAATGTTTAAATTTTTTTTTGCCGAATAAAGTAACCAATAAATATCTTTTTGGAGGAAGGTATCTCAAAGGGTCCTTGAGATACTAGGCACTCCAATAGTTAAGCCTCTGAGGTTGTCGATTTTGCTCTGTGATGAAGCAACGGGTGCCGGCCTTGCTTCCAAGTTTGAGCCATAGGGTATATTGCAGATTATATGGGGACCGTCCTGGCCTGGGCCGTCTTGGTGCAGTGGTTGCCTCTCACCATTTCCTTGGGCGTTGTTGTTGTTCCTCTTCCTGTTCCTCCTCTTTTTCCACCATAGAAAAAGCCCTGCTGGGACCACCAGCGCAATCATCCCAGCGGTTGGAACCACAATTTCCACAATAGTGTACGCTGCACAAATTAAAAAAAACCAGAAGACGTTATTTTTCAATAAAAAAATATTTCTTGAACGTAAATATCATCGGAGGAGAAGGAGCTTTAGCGAAGCAATAGAGCGCCCATCCATCAGCTTTGATGATATTATTGACATTGTATGATTTTTGTGAGGGTAACAAGACATTATTTGGTGATTCTGTAAAGTGAGTGCTACGTCTATCACACCTATTTATTCTTTATTTTGTATTCTAAACTTTTCTTCCTAATCGTTATTCCTGTGGTAACGAAGGTACTTTAACTTTCTTTCAACTTACGATGTTCCTTCGCTGCTGGGATGAGAGATGTTCCCAAAACACAAGCATTCCCACAACCGCACAAGTGATCTAGCTCAAATTCCTAGAGCACGATAAAGGAGATACAAGAGGAAGTTTTCAAGAGCTTAATTATGGATTCAACATATGACAATCTCCTATAATCAATTTTCTTACGCAACAAGACTCGTGTTAGGAATGATGAAATCCAAGTTGCAAAAGGCTGAACAGGTTCCATGGAATATTAAAAGCAAGTCTTTAATAATTCGTTTCACGATGAAGAGTAAATTAACTGTATAGTTTCTTTCAAAAGAAAATCGCGATATTTTGACAGCCATACTGCTAGTCTTTGACATCTACTTTGGTCCAATCGCACTCTGCATTGACAAGGGAGGAATATCTATTAGTGACTCATATTCTTTCAACCCAATCGGCTGACAAGAAAATTACAATTTATCTTTCATCATTATTTTTTTACATCAATCTGAGTTGATAAATTGTGTAAAAAAGTCAATTACCCAATCGTCTTCATCGATTACTTTCAAGGTTGCATCTTTGATGTCTGCTTTGGTCCGATCGCACTTAAAGTGGACAATGGATCTTCGACCTTCAAGATCCCTGAAAGAAGATAAACTAGAAAGTTAATTAGTGTCTTCCGATAAAGAAAATTCTGTCTTTTCTATATCCCATAGATTAAGCATGCAGTACAGCTCTCCATGTCATTTTTTGTAAATGGTACATTGTTCCTTCTCGCTGATTGTTAATTTTCTGCTTCTATGTGTTTCTCAGTGGTAAAATTCATATGTTCTTCAAAGCGTTAAAAAGAGTTGTATTGAAGTTAGTCTACGTGCCCACCACGAAATAGGTACCGCGCACCTTAGTGAACTTATATGCGCACATAATACTAAGTTTTAATCGCTGAGCCTCGTCATAAGAACGCTCAAGTACACATACCTTCCCCCTGCGTTGTAGGTTAGTCGAATACCATTGCTCTCTTTGGTACAGTTTGGTATTTGATTTCCAATTGACCAATAATTGTCAGGATTATCGTTGTTTGGAGTCCACCTACATATCTGAAAAGATAATAGAAATAGCACTACTGTTACCACAGGGTCACCAACAAATCTCAGAGTTACTCTGGTGTATAAGACCAACCACACGTAAGATTCCGGTATGCAAACGCAGCATTAGAAAGGGTGGTAACCCTGCTATTTTAAATAATCGCCTGCTACATTTGTGTCCAGTCTGTTCTCTCAAAATATCATGGTTACCTAATCAACAATAATAAGATTATTACCTGATACTACAGAATGGGATATCATGGATCTCATTTCTAAGGTGAGAATCATTTTGTTTCTCAAGTAACCTTTCTTACTTCGGAGAAGAACAATTTTTACCGCAACTGAACACAAAGTATTCTAGAAAAATTAACTGCCCCCACTTAATTGGTGAATCTTTCCACTATCGAACTCAGGTGTTCCTTTAAGAGTTGTTGATCACCTGCATAATACGATGGCCATGCATTCTTAAGGTTTTACGTTTGTTGACAACAAGTAAGTCCTCTTGCATGTCCCAATGTACAATGCTGAGTTGCTGTTCACAAAATTAAGCTTGAATAGTCAGATTTCTCAAGTACAACAAAAGCTCCGAAAACATCGAACTTCATTTCTATGACTGCGGAAATAGTTAGACCATTACTTACTGCTGTTTCTTTAT